CTCCCCAGGCCACTTCTTGATCTCCTATGGTTGGGATCCCTGGATTGACATTCCAGACCTTCCACACATGCAGCCTCACCGACCCGATCCCCTGACAACACACCCTCCCAGACCACCAGCCACACTGGGCACAGTTACGGGGAGGGGGATGAATTTTTTTGTCCTTTTGTTCCTCTCTATGCTGCATCTCTGCTTCTGATAACCAAATGCAGCGCTTCTCTGAGGACACCTTCCCACCTGACTCTCTCTCCTTACGCGTAGGGTAGGCTGACCTCACTGCCTGCCTCCAGGCCTGCCCAGCACAATGCTATGGGTCAGGGGCAGGCAAACTAGGGTCCAAGGGCAAACAAGCAAAAATGGCCCCTCGCCTATTTTGTAAGATCGTGAGCTAAGAATGACTTTTTTTATATTTAAAGGGCTGTAAAAACATCGAAGATGCCACACAGACCCTGTGGCCTGCAAACCTAGAATATTTACCATCTGGCCCTCTGCAGAGTTTGCTGACACCTGCTTGGATGCACGACGTTTGGTTTGGGATGGGGCAGAAGATGGGCTGAGCTGAGGAGTAAATCCTGCGCCAGGAGCTGGAGCTGTCAGGGGAGGTACATTCTCCAAGGTTTGTTAAACTGAGCGAACATAAGCCTGGAATTACTGGTGGCCATCTTTGACACTTTATACAGAGGCTGCTAGAGAGGGAAGCCAACACTGGGGAAAGCAGAATCAAAAGACAGAGATGAGCTGTGGGATGTAGAACCAGCTGGGCCTTTTGGTTATATGAGCCAAAACTTTTCTTTTTGCTCAAGCCAGTTTGAGTTGAGTCTCCTGTCACTTGCAACTGAAGGAGCTGTGATGTGTACAGATTTTGGCAGGTATGCCCAGATGCCTTTGGGCATGTTATTGTCCCTATCTGGAATGCCCTTTATCCTCTCTGCCTGCCCTAGTCTACTTATCCTGCCAGGATCTTACTGTGGTCCCTTTAATTCCTGGGTGGTTCATTCTGAGACTTAACTGTACACTCCCCGGAGGACTAGGTGCTGTATCCCTAACAAAGCCACAAACAATGAGGTCGGGAGCAGGGAGAGGAAGGCACACTGGCAGAACCCAGTACCATGCTAAACACCACAAACACTATGGTATAGATTGCTCCAGAGGCAGCAACCCAAGGAGGCAGAGCAGGAACTCCATTGTAGAGGTGGGAAAAAGAAGCAAAGTGACTCATCCAAGGTCACACAATTACTAAGAGGTAGAGTCAGAAATCTACCCCAGCTCCAATGAGCGCCAATCACTCATATTCTTTCTGCAACATGGTGGCTCTTGAGCACTACAGCCAGCCCTTCACAGGATTCCCCAGATCTAGTTTTTTTACACTTTCTGGAATCTTTTGGGAGCCTTCCACTGCCTGCAGATCAGAGATCAAACATCTCAACCTGAAATCCAAAGACTTTCAGCATCTACCTATTTGTTCCTCAATTCAATCCTGGGGCTGTGGGTGTACCCTCCATGCAAAGAGAATCCCCTCACTGCACCAGCAAGTTTTAACTGGGGAGATGATCACTTTGTATAGCCTTTCCTAACAAGGACTAGATTGAGTCAGCTGGACAGGTTCAAAATTAAAGTTGCCTGAATATAATAATAACTGGAGAGGCACTCTAATTAGTTTTTTTTTTTTTTTTAATCAAGTGCAACAATCTGCCTGCAGGAATCTGAAAGCAACTCAGGATGTCTTAACTCTTTAAGGAGGATGTCTTTGGGAACACCATGGCAAGTTCTCCCACGCAGATCACTCCTGGAGAGCTTCCCCGGAGCCCCAGATTTATCACAACATAGGACATGCGCGCTCGTTCCCCTGCTCCTGGTGCCCCTCACAGCGTGCCGTGCCCTGGCACCTCAGGAAGGCAGCCTACTTTAATCTCACCTGGAGCAGCTGGGCAATGCGCGCTAAGTCACGCCACCGCCCGACCTCTTTTCTCATTGGTCAGGACCTAGAGTTGAATTAGTCCATCATTTCGTGTCCCCAGTGGATCAGGAACAATACTGTGAATCCTTTTATAATCCCCTCAATTAGAGGGCATTTTCCCACATTCCCAAAGGAAATCATCCCAGAGTTTTCAAACTGCCAAAGGGCCCTGATGACTCACTGGCAGAGCCCAAGCAGGAGCCAGGCTGCTGCCTCCTAGCCTGGACTGGACACCCCACAGGCCTGGCAGGGCAGGCCCTGGAAGGAAATGATGGACCTCTCCAGAACTGCTTGGGGGTCCTTGCTCCAATACGTCCCCTTGCCAACCACCTTCTGGGTTTGTAGAACTCGGAGATTATCTAAGTCCTGGAGGAGCTATCTAGACGGTGCCTCGCCACACATCTGGGGAGGAAGCAGTCATCCTCTCTGGCATCTGTCGGCACCTGTGTGTGTGAATAGAAATTTACACCATGTGTGTTTTAAATCCCGTGGCTAGAAAAATCAAGTATTTATCCTGCCTTTTCTATGTAAACTCCCTCAAGCTTCCCGCATGGTTGAGGGAAGTTTCCCTTCACGCAGGTACTCTAGCTAAAAGCAAACTGGCCTGGTGGGGCCAGATGGCCCAGCTTTGCAATCCCTAATGAAAGAGTGGATCCAGATGAGGATCACTGATGGCTGAGACCACTGCGAGAAGAGACTGGAAGTGATGCGCTTCCAGACAAAGTAAATAATGCCACCTCGGAAGGGGAGCTGCCAAGAGACAAAAACAAAAATCAAATCCGATCAAGTCACTTGTTCTGCCTCCCAATTTAGGGGAAATATAGGTGGCAGGGGAGCCTGTGAAATGACCCCCACAGGGACGTAATCAGTGAGTTCAGATTGTGGGCGGTAACACGGGATAAATGACCTTGTTTCCTCAACAAAAACCTTACAGGAAAGAAAAAAAAAAAAAAAAAAAGAGGTGGCAGGAAAATCTGTAAATTAAAAGCGATTTACTCAAGGACAGATCCATAACAGCCAGGCACATACATTATTTGGATCCCGATTCAACACATTGGGGATATTCTAGCAATGACGGAAGACAGTATTTCAGGATCATTTTTTTAAAGGTGTGATGATGCTATTATGGTTGTAAGCTTAATAAAAAGGTGTGGTACATCGGGGATTTGCTTCAAATCCAGGGGCTGGGTGGAGGTGCAGAGGGGTAGACGGCAGGGGCGGTGGTGAACAGGCTGGCCACGTGCTGGTACCTGTCCAGCTGGGTTATGGGTACAGGGGCTTCAGTACCCGATTATCCATGACAAAAAGTTAAAATAAAAAAGAATTTCCTATTTATTTTTTTTAAGATTTATATATTTATTTATTTATACAAGCACTGGGTACAGTCAGAAGCGCGGGAGGGTGAGAGAATTCACCAGAGCCAGAGCGGGGAGCAGAGCAGGCAGAAGGACCGAGGTACACTGCTGAGGGGAGCAGCGGGCGGCAGGAGAGGTCTGCGCGCCATGCGGGACCCTCCTCCGGTGGCCGGGGAGCAGCCGGGGATCGAACCGGCGCAGCAGAGGCTGCGGGCAGCTTCGCAACCCAGCGCTCAACCGCTGCGCCACCGGGGAGGCCCAAGAATTTCCTATTTAAAGTGCATCCAAAAATTGTCATGAGGATTTACCTTACGCCTAAGGGACCAGATGTTTGGGCAAGAGGGAGGGACTGCTTGCATCTTATACTACGGTTCTGTATTAGCCATTCAAGAACATACACTCACTTAAAAAAAAAATCACCCAATGTAGATAACAAACTTCAAAGTAAGCTCTTGATCATAGATTTCATCCAAGAAGTGGCTTTATTTCATTTTCTTCCAAAGAACAGGTTAGGTATAAAGAGTCAGTTCCACCTCATTCTCTGCAGAGAGGGCGTGCGAGCGACGCAGGGCTGTGTTCTGGAGATGCCAGGCCCGCGGTCCCGAGACCGTAGACGACACGCTGTGCGTGACACTGGCTCTGCCCCGCGTGTCTTTAAACTGCTGGTGTGGGTGTGGGGCGCTTGGGAGGCAGCCGGGGCCGGGTGATGGTACTCTAAGGAGTTAAGCCCTTAGAGCTGCCAGACAATGTCATTTGAAAACGCAGGTATGAGATATAAATAATAGTCAGCTGCTTTCCTTCAATCCAATTTCTAAGCAGTTGTGTGATCGATCAATTTATGAATCGATCAGCTGTCTACTACCCCTCTGCAGTCTTCTCTCTGCCGCCGCCAGCGCCTCTGGCCAGGCAGGGTCGGCCCCGCACTCGCTGGCAGGTGCCCATCTTCAGCCACTGCCCACCCAGTGGGGGAGGCGGGCTCAGGGCAGCTCCTGGAGCAGACGGAGCACATTGGCCTTGTAGGGGTTTTGTTGCCCAGGGGCCCCCCGCAGCTGCACGGGGTGGAGGCTGGGGTGGGGCGGTGTGGGCTGCTCCGGGCAGTACAGCTCGTTCAGGAGGAACCAGGTGGAGTCTGGGTCTACCTTCATCAAGTGCAGGAAAACGCTGTGGAGAGAGCACAGGGGGTGAGGGGAGGGCTGAGGCAGGGGAGGGGAGGGCTACGGTGCCTTCTAGACTGCTTGAGAAGAAACTGGTAACGCCAACTCACTTCGGATAGCAGAACAAGCACACGTTAGTTCCTAAGTCAGGGCCATTAGGATGTGCCAAAGCCTAACAGAAATAGAGGCAAACAGCTTCATATCCAGCGACATAGAGAAAAAAAGTAATTAGAACGGAACAATATTGACATCAAACAAACACTTGGCAAAGAAAGCAGTTACGTTCTGGGGTGTAAAGCAGGAGTCTTCAGAGGGAAGAAGACTGACAGGGCCCACCCTTCACGACAGGCTCTGCCTGGCTCACAGGGCCAGAAGTGGGCAGAGCGTCCCCATCTGCTGGGGGGCCTCGGCAAGCCCCTCCCTTCTGGGTCTCCAGCTCCCTGCTGAATGCTGCAGTTGGACCCCTTCTGGCCAAGAGCTGTGAATTTTTGGTGGTGTGGACTCAGGCAGGGATCAGATCCAGTTATTCTCCTGGAGCAGACCTGGCTGGACACCCCACCTCCACCCTGGTGTCCTGCAGGGGATGCAGACAGGCCCTGGTCCCCAACCATCACTAAGGCTGATGGTCTTCATTTTTAATTTAGGGGGTCACAACACTTGCCTCTTGTTTGTTCACATCCTACCTCTGAATCTTTGATCTCAAGCCCAGGGCCACAGTACGGGCAGTCCAAGTGTAAGCTTCATGCACGTAGCCAACGAGAGCCACTTAGTGTGGCTTGTCAGCCCCGAGAGGACTGAGGCACTTGGGCAGTCCCTCTCGGCCAGCAAGGTGGCCTTGCCTGGCCATTTACCTAAGCGGTTGCCCCTTATTTCTCTTTCAGGGCACCCTTCCCATAAGCATTTGCCAGAGCAGATTCTCATAGTTAACAAGTGACTTATGGTGCACAAATGAATTAAGATGACCTCTGTCTCTGGAATATCTACAGTCTATAAAAGGATCTAAAGGAGGGGTTCACTGTTCACCACCGGGGAAGGCTGGAGGATTCATGTTATCACGCTTCACCAGAGAAGGGGCTGTGGGAGGCTACTCAATTTGGCTCAGTGCCAGTTTCTTCTTTTCTAAATATGGGGGCTGGATATACCTTTAGTCAGGGTTTTGCTGCGGTTTCAATGAGAAAACACAGATGCTGCCTGACCAGTGTCTCATGTGCGACCCCTGAGCTGCCAACTAATCCGCTGCACACTCTCCATGTGACGGATCATGTCTTACTCTTGACCACCATTCCCAGGAGCCCTTCTCTCGCTCTGGGATGTCAGACTGGAGCCTAAATGGTTGCTCAAGGAAGTTGAAGTCTTGTTTTTAATCTCATTAATCTGAAAGGCCTGTGTCCTCAGGGGGTTTGGTTTTACTGGGACACTGCAGGAGACTGGGTGAAGCCAGGTTTGCTTTCTTCCTTGGATTTAGTAGATATACGCCAGGGCGACAAGGGAGGCAGGTGGGCACGGGGCACTTCGAAAATTTCTCTGGTCTGTTTTATGCCTAAACAATTTAAGTTTTCTTTACTTAGTATAATCTTATGTTTATAACCTCAGCAGCGGTTGCTGGAGAAGTGATTAGAATATTCTAATTCATTGTTTCCACTTCACCGCAGCAAGGAGATGGGGCCTGCGTGGGAGACAATTTTTGTTTAAAAACAAAAATATCTTTGATAATTAGAGTGGCAAGGGAAATTATGAAAAAACACACCAAAAACGGGAACGGGATTTCTATTTACACGTGACACAGTTGACAGCTTTCCCTGGTGCCAAAGACTGTTAGAATGCAAATGGTTTCATTTGATTTTTTTTTTTTCCCCTTTAGAGAACTGGAACAATTTCTTCAGCTATAGCACGGCACACTCTCGGCTTCAAGGAATATTTTGATCTGGGTAACACCCAGCAAAGTGGTGCCACGGCCCCGTTCAGTCACAGCTCTGCTCTGACTTACATGGCACGAAAATGTTGCAATGTTCATTTTCTGAGTCCTTTTTAACATGCTAAAATGTGGATGTTGTATTTGCTGACAGGAAAGGAAAAGGAAGCCAGCTACTTTCTTTGCCCTGTGAGGTCTCTAAATAAAATGCTAACAGGGAAGCCAAGGGGAAAACGTGTGCAAAGTTCACCTTTTATTAAACAAGAGCCGAATTCTTGGAAGAATTATTTTGGGGCTCAATTCTTAGCTCTTAATGGGGTGGACTCCGCAGAACAGCAAGCAGCGATGCCAGTTCCTTCTGCTGCCCTGGCGGCCAGAGCGAGAGTTCGCCTCTGTGAACCTCCCTCCCTTTCTCCCTAGGCAGAGGGTCACACTTGCCCCACCCTCCTCACAGGAAAACACTTTGAAGTGTATAATGAAAACACTTCCTTCCAGAAAGAGTGTGTGTGTGTCTAAGGAGTAATCATCACTACTACCAGCCCAAGCAGCACGGCCATGCTATGGAAAATTCTCAGACACCCTGAAAAGGGCAAAACATTTGCTGTTGGCATCACTCATCATTTCCCTCAGACTGACTTAGTGGGGGTTCCCAGTTCTCAGCTGATGGGACTCTAATTTTGCCCATTTTTTTTCAGGAAAAAATGAATGTAGTATCTTTACCCACTGCATGCCTGGGCCAGGAGCAAGGGCCGTGCCATGCAACTGGGTAGCTGTATTCCTGTTTGGCCAAAGGCTTGTCAGCTGCTGAAGCATAAAAATGGACAAATTTTGAACCTCAACCCTGCTTGCTTTAAGCCCCTGGGAGCTGAGCCTGAGGACTTGGAGCTTTTGTGTGAGTGCTCAGACAAACTCTGGTCCCGCTCGTCCTGGTGCCAGTGCCTGCCCATGCTGAGCAGGGCACAGGGCTCCTGCAAGCCAAGGACCTAGAAAGCCCTTTTTGTATAATCAAAAAACCAGAAGACAAAGACAGGACTGCTGCGTTGTAGTGACTGGGGCAACTGCCTGGAAAATGTCCCTAATATATCTTGAGACGTGGCAGAGATGGCTGTTGAACATGCCAAATGGCCAGCTCCAGCTTTACAAACCCAAAGAGAAACACTTAAAAAAAAATATATATGTACACCATTTAACTCCTGAACAAAAATTTCTTTCTCCTTCCCCCAGGCCCAAATCAGTGGCTCCAGGGAGCACAGTTATCAAGAGATTATCTGGTCCCCAGAGTTTCGGGAGGCACTCAGCTGTGCCTCATGCCTCCCAGTGTCCTGAGGCGAGTGATTATCTCTCAATAACCTGTAGGGCCGTGTAGCTTAAATGATAACTTGACTTTAAAAAATTTAGAACTCGCCGTTAGGCAGTTTCTAAGCAACCTCTGTTTCCATGGCAAAGAAGCCTGGTGTTTATACTGATTTTTCACTTAAAATGCGGTTTTATTGAATTTCACTTCATGCAGGCAGCCATTTCCCTGCACTTCAGCCCTATCTACAATTGACGGGTATCAGCAAGTACCTAATAAACTCCAGACACCAAACCAACAGAAGCAGCTCATTCCTTTATGATCAATACTGGGGTGCTCTGTGTGACAGAACTGGGGGAGAGGTGGCCTGGGAAGGTAGGAAATGTTCTCCTAGAACATGGTGGGCTGGGGTTGGGTCCTATTTCTCATAATTCACCACATGTTTACTAGTACCTGGTCCAGCAAGCTCAAGCGGCATGGGCTACCAAGATGATGGACAAAGGACTCTCTGTCTGACAGGGAGGTCAGGCTGGTTGGAGAGGCCCACGACACAATGTGCAGAGGACATTGCTGGAAGCCCTGTGCGGGGTGGAGTGGGGAGGGATTCCTGGCAAGTCGCCTCTCTGTAAAGAGGGGGCTACACTGGATCAGCTCTAAGGCCCCTTGCAGCCCCAACAGTTCACAGCGGTTCTCAAGCTTGGATGCCGAATGACAGGCTCTCACCACGTCCTCCCCCAAACCAAAAAGCCCTCTGCTGCAGACACTAACATTACAGAATGTTACTCACATCTTGGTCGAGACAACATCTGCAAAAAGGGAACTCCAGAAAACCACCAGCCAATCAAGACCCAGTAAAGCTAAATAAACTGTAACTGAAATTCAGAGCGCCCAGCTCTCCTGGGTGACAGGCTATTCTTTCTCTGTCAATTACTTGCTTGAGGGATCTGCTGCTCCTTGTTTCTTTCTGGATTTATAAAATGCTCTCATGAGCTGTCTAAGTAAATGCCAGTGGTAAAGAACTTGTGGCTTTGTGATGTTTGTTTGTTTGTTTATTTATTAAGGGCTTCTAAAGAAGTCATTCAGGGATGTCTCCTTAGGAACGTGGTGCCGGCTGTGTCTACAGGGCCATGACTAAATGCATTCAGAAAATATACCCAACTTGTTGGAAAGCAGGCACATTCACAGTTATTTTAGCTTCCCTATTCGTCCCTCCCTGGCAGAACCTCCTCCACACTCCTTCTCTGGCCACCCCTTCGCTTGTGACTCCACACAAGCTGATGCCACAAACGAGGCCGTGTGCTTCGTTTTAAACAAATGGATGCTCGGGGTGTCATGTGTCCCAGCCGGCGAGCAGCAGGGCGATGTTTCTATACTTGGTAATTTACTCTAATGGGTCTCGGTTCATTGGTTAACCAGTATTTCAAGCCTGTCCTTTCTTGCTATTCAATTTAGCTATCTTCTCCTGCATGGAGGTCGTTTTTTGTTTCTAAATGTTAGAAATGGAGGATTATGACTTGAAGCAACGATTTACCTTCCAAATAAATACTACCAATTACCTTTGCAGCTACACATACTCGTTAGAGTTAACTATATTTACGTGTTGAAACTCATTCATCTATCGATCTCGCTCCCATCCACATCCTCACACTGAGAGACCTATATTAAAAATATTTAAATGCAACAGGGAAAGGATTTAAAGCCATAAACACCAGTAGAAGCTTACAAGACTAATCAAGCCCCTAAAATACCACAAGACAAAGTATTGTAAGCACAGTGGAATGACTCCATTGCTTTGTGCATATTTAAAAAGATACGGCACTGCGAGGCCCAATCTGTTACCAACAGTTCAAAAATAAGCCAGAATCTAGGAGGGTTTAAATCTCACTGGGGCAGGATTTAAAAGTAGCCCCTTCCATCTGGCTAGCTCGCCTGTCTCCAGGCCCCCCTGCAGGCCCAGATCTCATGCTGTTGCTGCTGCTGCTCCGAGGCAGCACAGACTTCAGAGTGGTCCTCTGTGCCCAGCATGGAGTGGACCGGGGTCTTGGCCCAGCAGGTGGTACTCTCAGGCTACATGCAGTGTCTCCTGTTCTACCTGGAAGATTCGTACACTTGCAGATAAAGACCTCTTCTTAGTGGCTTGCCCATTCTGCCCCCTCCCTGAGCTGTTTTCCTGTAACCAGCACTCTGGCAGGAAGCCAGCAGGATCCAGTGAGGGATGCCTGTAGCAACAGTCCTGGGAAGCACATGTCTACACTCACGGTAGGGATGCCAGTGTGCTGGTCCCAACAGGGAAGGGATGCCTGCGTGCTGGTCCCAATAGGGACAACCCAGGAAGAAAAGTTCCCAGGGTGCAGCACCAGGAAGCTGTGCTTCTTTCTGAAAAGGTCCTTTTCCTGTTTTGGTAATGACTGGGCAGTGCATGACAGACACTCTCCCTCTTTGCTTGGCCTGTTAGGAAGCCCAGAGCCGCCCAGGCTCATCTCCAGTGAGGGTGCAGTTCTGCGTCTGCATTTTATATAGCAACTCCAACCCTGGCTTCACCTTATTTTTCTTCTTATTTTTCCCTTTAAAAAATTTCTTTACTTCCTTTTGACTTTGCTTCATCGCTTAATGTATAAGATGCCCTAAGTCTTTTTTTGGAATAAGGAGTAAGTTTAAGTGATAAACAACTACTGTTTATTGATTTTTTACTCTGTGCTGATATTTTGTGCTAAAGAATTAATACACAGGACGTAACTGAATCCATGTAATAATTTTACAAGGTGGAAAATAATAGAGGCGATTATTCTAGTCTTATAGATGAGGAAGCTACTCACAGATAAGATTTTGAGGAGTAAATTAATTTACCCATTGTTATACCACTACAGGGCAGCAACGTGAGGCCAGCTCTTACTTTGTATTAATCTTCGAGATCTTTCGACTCTCAACAAAGTGTTTGCTTCCTAAGAGTCCCTCAAGCATTTTTTGAGTAAAGACACACGTAAGAAGACAAGGGAGGCCATTTCCATAGCTACTTCACTAGTACTGAGATCATCACATTCATTTTAGCTTTTTAGGCTTCCGGGACAGACCACAGACCCCGCAAACTGGTGTGACTGCTACCCTGTGGTCTGCCAAGGCTTTTGGAATCTGAAATCCACTGTGTGCAGGTGGCCTGGCCACCAGGCACGACCTGCCACCAAGGCCATCCTTGTTCCCAAGCCAGCACGGCACCCCGCTAGTGCGCACACCCCACGCTTGGTGGTAAAATAGTTGACCGTGGCAGATGATCAATCACATGACAACACCAAGGAGGCAAGGGAGGACTGGGAACATTTGATTTAAGTGGCACAGAGGTCCCTGCCTTCGGATCTGAAATGCAGCAACCCACTTTGTTTGTAATCTGCATGGCAGATGTCTCTTATCTCTGACACCAGGAAATCATGCCTATGTGTGCACTGTGAACTGCTTCAGATATGGGTGTATTTTTAGAACAATGAGCCTTGAAAAGAAAAGCAGCAATGCCTGTCAAAAGATGGATAATAGGAAAGCTAACTACTTGGGTCTGGATTTGTCAACTATTAATCAAATGTCAAAAGGAAAAATATGAGGAGTGCCCTCATTTCCATGCTGGGTGCAATCCGAAGGGGTAACAGCTTTGCAGCCCAAGCTCAAACAAACTGCCCATACCATTTAAAGGGATGAGCTACTAATTTCAAGCTCAGCTGAACTAACGGATCACCTCTGTGGCTCCTGATCCGTTCAGATATAATAGGCCCACGTGTGGGTAAAGAGAGGCGTTGGGCTCTGACAGGGATGAAATGAACGAGCCTGTACCAGTCTGTGTTCATCCAGGGTTTGAAGGCACCGGCTGGTTCTTTGATGGGCTGGGATCCTACTGCTAGAAAGAAAGCGGGGAAGTCAGTCAGTAAATGAACCTTCAAACCTGGTCCTGACTTCTCATGCAAACAGCAGTAGAGGGAGGTGGTACAATTAACATAAAAGAGGGCCGTTGCAGGTGAAAACCCCAGTTCAGATTTCAGTAAAGAGAAAGCAGGCAAGTGTGTATGTGACATAATGCTGCATATATTTGGTGCGTCTACATATATCCCACATAGGTGTGCATATATAAATATACCTCCAGAAGTAAGCACGGCGAAGGCAGAGGCCTCCTCACTCTTGCCCCCTTCATTTTCAGTGCCTGGCACACAACAGTTTCTTAGTCGACAGCAGAATGAATGAACATTAGTGGATTCCCTCACATATTAATGCGATTCATCTGCACAATGATTCTGGGAGGAAAGTGTCATCACTACTCCTTGTTTATGGAGGAAGGAAATAAGGTGCAAGGAAACCAAGCCATTTGCTCAAGGTCACAGAGCCAGTAAGAGCTGAACTAGGTTTGTTCACCTCCAAGACAGGTGTCCTTTGTCCCATACATGTAGCCAGGCAGAGGAAGCTGAGAAGGTGTTGCTCCACCCCCATCTAGGACTGCAGCATCTAGGATCTGCACAGGCAGCAGGTGCACCAGCTGGTCACGACCTGCTGCACCCAACATTCTTACTTGGGCTCTGGAGTCAGCAGGTGAAGGAAGGCCTGGGGTGGTGACTATTGTTCCTCTGCTGTGAGACTTACTGGGAATGGACTTCATCTTTGTAAGACTAGGTACTGTCTAGTTTTGTTCCTTTTAGCCCCAGGGTAGAAGACTCAATGGAAGATTTAAGACCTCACTGTAAAACACAGGGAGCCTCAGAGGCTGTTCAGAGATAGGCCCAAGGAGTGTGGTTTTAATGGAGTTGAGTTGAACCAGGCTGAGAGCATGTACTGGCTTGAAGGAAAAAAACACAGAAATTTGGGGTATGTGCTCTCATCTCAAATTCCTTTCAAGTATGGGAAGGAAAAGCTCCATGACCAGAAAAGCAAAGAACTGTGGAGGCCCACTGCATGCTGGGAGCTATCTTGGAGGCTTCCAGGGCCACTTGGGAATTTAAATCAGTTAAGTTTGCCTCTGCCTTGGCAGAGGTGGGGGCGTAGCCAACACAACCTGTTATTTTGTAATCTAGTGCTTACCCTCAGGGACACTGCCTTATTTACAACTCACAGTAAGCTGACCCCTCCTCCCACACTCCAGATATGATTTTCTCATGTGTTATCCATTGAACTTATTTAACTAGATGGACTTTGGGGGAGCTAGTAAATTTCTTGCATAGCCAGTTAACAGTGACACCTGGTGGTAACAAACAGCAAGGTTACACCCCACCCATTCCCTCCCCTCCCCCCAAGCTACAAGATTTACACCCCTCTGTGCAAGGCACATTCGGTAGATAAAAGCATTAAACTGGAATGGCATCTCCGTTCTTAGCATTTACAGCCTCAGTTATATCAGCCACCCTGATCAATTTCCATTTCTAGAGTTTACAGCCTGGATGTAAAAGCCTGCCACAAAGGCTATATTTAATATAACAAATTAAAAAAGCAAACACAATCTTGGTCATTCTTTGGAGCCAGGAAAGTGAATAGAAGGAATGAAAAATCTAACAGGAATGCACACAGGTACTTTCACAGCCCTGCCAAGTGAGCCTCCATTCCAAGGCAAGGAGGCAGCCCCTCAGTGGCCCTGAGGCCCACCTTCCAGACCCTGAGGGCTGCTGGCTCAACTCCTTACGCATTGAGGGAGGCCTCGAACAACTACTTACCTCCTCACCAGCCCTGGCAGAGGGGCCACTTCCAAAGCAGCTGGTCATCTATCCAGTGCTGGAAACTCAGTACCTCTGAGAAAGCCAGGGCATCTCTGGCTTTTACTGGTCCTTCTGAATACTGAGTGAGGCTTGAAGTTTTGTAACCCTCGGCCACAGAGTTCCCTGTTGGGCTTTTAACAAGAATAGCAGCCTTCTCTTCTCCATTGAGAGTGTGTGTGTGTGTGTGTGTGTAGGGGGGGGGCTGTCACTGACTGCTGTGGGGGTAATACCCAGGAGGGGTAAAAGTAGATACAGGGGCTGGTGAAGAGGTTAGGAGCTAAGAGATGAGGGTGGCCTGGCCGAACTTGGAGCTGAAGGGAAGGTGACAGTTTTACGAGATTTTGCAAATTAGGCAGACAGGCTTCACTTCTGGAATGGATGTGGGTTATGAAGGAAAGAAGGGAAGAATTCAGGACAATCAACTGGATGCAGGGGGCGGCCATTTGCTGAACGGGGGGCTCAGTCTCATTCAGGGGACCTTGCTCATCAGTCCCCGTAGGTGTGATTGTTTCAATAGTAACCGGCCCACCCATCTCCCTGACCCCCTCTGGTAATGAGGTTCACAAAGAGACCAGGTTTCCCATTGTCTCAGGCTTCTTCCATTTAGAGAGCTCATTAATTTCTGAATCAAGATGCCAAATCAGCTCCTGATCAAGGACAACACTGAATTTTTTTCTCCTGACTTCAAAATAAGTTTGCAGATGATGTGTATGTGAAGCAATCAACCTTGCACACTTCCTCCCCTCCTAGCCCATCAGAGGGAGGTCATCTGACTCAACCCGGGGATGGAATGCAGCAGAGCAAACAAAGGCACTGCAGTCAAGTGGTTTGGCTGCATTTTCCTCCTTCGGAGGTACCTTGAATACCAACTCTAGAATCAGCTAGGTCCAATTTTGGATTTACTTAAATAGCAAATAAATGAATAAATAAATAAATAAATAAAATCTAAACGAAAAGATACTGGATTGTGAATATTTGTGTGATGGGTCTAAATGGAAAGTGGGCCTTGGAGTGAGTGCAGGAAAAGTAAAAGGGGACAGGGAATGGGAAAATCCCTTCTCTATAACTCTTGTTTTTAACAGGCGGCCAAAGGAATCACTTCAAGATAAATTCGGTATGTTCTTCAGTTGTACTTAAAATCACAGCACGATTAGCTTCAGGGACACTGCCCAGGGGAGGACTGCTTTCACTCTAAGTTGGTTCTATAAGGAATAAGAATGTCTGGGGACAAGATGCTGCTTGGGAAGTGCCCCTGTGCTAGAGAAACCATGGCTGATTCTGAGCCTGGGGGATGTGACCAGAAAGGGATGTAAAGAAAAGAGGGAGCTGGGGAAATCAAGAGCAAAACATTGCAAAGGACAATAAATCAATTCAAAAAGATATTTCCATCACTCCCAGAGAGTGCAAGGCTTATAAGGGAGCAAGTGGGCTTTCCTTATTTCACAGTCAGAGCAGCCTCTCACCCTTCAGGGGATGGATGACTCCCAACCCATCAAAGATCAGGCACACTTCCCCACAGGCCTGAGGAAGGGGAGGGGCTGTGCTGTGCTCTGGAGTGTGGAGCTCAGGGTCCAGAGCAGGACACCGTGCCCAGCACAAAGAAGGGTTTCACCTCAGCAGCAGGCACCCAGGGGACGGCAGATTCAAGCCACAGGCTGCTCCTAGCTGGGAGGCGAGGTGGTGAGAGGAGGGCCAGAGTGCATTTTGGGTCTTAAGACTTGGATGTTGCTGTAGTTGAAGTTTCAGCTTTTGAGAAACACCCCTTAGGCCATCAGAGGTGGTTCAGTAATTCTCTAATAAGCAAAACTCTTGGAAATTAGAATCACATAACTTCAGAGTTGGAAAAGGCCTTCTAAGCCATGAGTACAGTGGCTCTTAACCTTTCTTGGTTCACAGACTCCTATTATGATCAGATGTATGTTATGAACTCTGTCTAGAAGAGAGCACCTATATGCCTGCTTGCACAAACCTGATTTTGCATGCAATTTGCAAGCATTGCAGATCAGCAATCCAATGCTTTTGCTTTGCAGATAAGGCAGCTGAGGTCCAGAGGCTCCAGGGTCACCTGGTGACTGGAGGAGTAGGGCCTTCTGACCAGGAGAGTGCTTTGTCCCATTGAGCACACCACCATCCTGCTTTTTGCCCCTTTGGAATTGTTGCTGACACTGCAGCAGAGGAAAAGGTTACTTACAAAGAGAAATGTGTCTAGTGAAAATACCATCTCTTGAGTTGGCACAGTTAAAGAAATCATCTTAACCTGGCAAGAAGAGAGAGAAGAGAAAAGAGCAGAGATGCCTCAACTCTGCTCACCATTAGCAAATCATCTATAATTTAGACCAAACGTAAAGAGATGCGGGTGATCAAGCAGACGTACCTCCTGGCAGCCTCTTGTAATTTCACGGGCTGTTTGGCACTGAGGTAAATCAAGCAGGCATCAGCCACTTTATTCAGGTCACCCTCACCTGCAGAGGGGAAAAGCAAAACAAGCATTGGCCCTCAGACTTCATCTGGGATGAGCAGTAACCAACTGCTGTCTGGCGAAACTGAAAGAGCTAGACAAGCTGTCTGGGCTCTTCATGCCATCCCACAGGTTAAAAAAAAAACAACCAAAAAAAAAAAAAACCAAAACAAAAAAAAACAAACCCCCAACCCAAAACCACATCAAGATAAATGGATCTGAGTGAGAACAAAGTAAGACTGAGGGATGTGCACCCAAAGAAAGATGAGGGGAGCATGAAACAGGAGAGTGAGATGAGCTGAGGACAGAATGGATGGTCTGTGACAGGTGAGACGGGCTGGTACCCACCTAGGTCCAGTCTCTCGCAGAGGGGGCCCAGGCCCTGCAGGACGGCCAGCTGCAGCTTGAAGGCTAGCGTGTGGGAGTAGACTGGGCCGGCCCTAGCGCTGACGGGAGCCTGGGCAACGAGGGAGCCAGCCAGCTTGGGCAGGACGTCTTTGCAGAACCGGCTCCTGAGGAAGTCACAACACTCGCCTCCCAGCGTACGCAAAACCTGCAGAAACAACCCCCAGCCCAGTGACTGCACATCGCCAAGGCTGCCAGAGAGCTAAAAAATGTTTGGTAATTCAATTTCATCTAAGTCTCTGCTTGGGAAAAAAATAGAATTACTGCTGTTAATTCCTTGCCCATGGTTTGTGATTCTGACAGTTATGAATTCAGAGGTCTCTGCTCCCAAGGCACGGCTGCTTCTATCCATAAATACAGATTACATGGAGAATAATTCAAAGGAATCGGGTTGGATGAATAATATGATTAATACCTTATTTCCTCTGTTTTGTAAAAAAAAAAAAAAAAGAGCTTAAAGCAGTTCACATATATCACCTCTTGAATCTTCCTGACATCCCTTGAGAAAAGACTGGTGCTTTCAATTCTAGCTAGCTGAACAAGCCTGGACACCGAGGGCCAGCTGCTGCACAGGCGGGCATCGTGAGGGCAGGAGCTGGCGGGGCGCCCCAGCTGAGTCAGAGCAGAGTCCCCATGTTCACAGTCGAGCCAAAGTCCCCCCACCCCCACCCCGCACCCTGTCCCATCCACTATCTCTTATGCACATCATCCTCTTCCATCTTTCACAACAGGCCGTTTTTTGCATGTCTCATTTTAAACCTTCTCTAGCAGAACATATTGAAAGGTTTTAGCCCGCTGCACAAGACTGAGGATAATAGAAATTTCTTTAAAAATTGGTAAGCGAGGCAGAACCAGCATGGAGCGTGTCTGCTGACTTGGCAGAGAACAAGGCGCTTGTTTCGCGCCCCTCGGCTGGACTGCCCGAGGTGCTACAGGCCTCAGGCGTCACCTGGGAGTGAAAAGGCAGCCTCAGTTACCACACACATCTTTATATATTTTCGCTTTTCTACACTTGCTGTCATTTCATCACACACGCGGGTAAGATTTAGCAAGACTTTCCTCTCTCTCCCCCTCCTCCCCTCTCCTTCTTTCCCTTGTTTTCCCTGCACACACACACACACACACACACACAGACACAGCTGTCATTTTGTGTTTTGCTTTGGGGAAAAAAAAAATATTAACAGTTTTCTATGTCTTAAACGTAAGGTTATATTTTGGTTCAGCATATGCTGAAGAATCTGAGAGAAAACCAAAATACTTTTGTTGAGGGTATTAGTTGCATTCCTGACTTCATTTTACGTTCCTACACATCTCTTTTTTTCTTTGCCTCATCATCCTGCTCACCTACTTCTAATTTATGTATCTTGCCATGGTAAACATGCCTCTGGCTTACCTTGCGTGTTTTTTTTAAGAACACTGAAGGAAGAAATTAGTAAGCTAAAATAGTGTGCTAATACAATTCAAACTGAGTCAGGAGAGCAACGCCTTACATAGATATATAGATTTTAACTTCTCAAAGTATTTCACTAAACGGTTCCATTTCATCTTTGACTACCTCACTATGTGAAAGATGGGCTAATTATTGCCAAGGCCCTCTTGAAAACAGTGGTCATGGGCTCTGCCACTGGGCTAGGCAGACGGTGCCCATGGCTAGAACTGTGGCTCTTTCATTTTGACTCTTGCAAAGAACATGGGGGGAGTGGGTGGGTGGGTTCTGAGGTTGTGTGATCTTGAAGAAAATTCTTTAACTTCTCTGAACCCGGAGACAACAGTATCCACCATGCATGTCTGTTGTAAGGAGGTGAACTCACTGCCAGCAAAAATATCCACCTACTTTTCATCTACTAATTCTCTTTGCCTCATATTTCAAAGGCGGCTGACCCTTATTTTCTTCCTTGTGCTTTTCTTGTTTTTCTATATTCTCTCCAAGGCATATGACATTGTAATCAGATAAAAAGAGAACTAAGCCCAAAAGATACCAGCGAGCTCTGCGTTCACTATTCCCACCTGGCAACTAACAGTGGAGGGTACAGTGCTATACCTGGAAGGCTCTGAGCACCACCAGGGGGTCATCGTTTGTGAGTCGGTGCACAAGCGGGGGCCAGGCACGATGAGCCAAGGGAAGGAGCTGGTTCTTGTGTGACTGTAGAACCACCACACACAAATCCAGCACATCCAGGACCTGAAAGAAAAGAGGACATGATTTCAGCAGAGAGTAAAGGTCTGAAAGCAGATACCTGGGCCCAACTCACCATTTTAGAAGAAAAAAAATTATTACTTATTAACTGAATATTTACTGTGTCCTAACTACAGGCCAAGCATGGCTAAGTAGCAGGAACAAATTACATGTGTTCTTGCCTTCATGGGGCTTCCAGCCAACTGGAGAATAACCTTAACTAGGTAACAACCAAATCAAGGGATTACCATTGTGTCAAGTGCTAGGAAGGAAAGTACAGGGTGAAATTTCAAAGACACTAAAAGAAGGATGGAAACCATCCAGACTGTGGGAGGGTTTCTCTAAGGAAGTAACTTCTAAAATGATACAAAAAAAATGAGTAGGAGTCAGTCATGCAAAGTGAGAGCAAGAGTGTTCCTGGACTGGAAACAGTAACAAGGAGGACCTGGAGGTGGACAGCTTGCAGAATGTGACAGAGGTGGGGCTGGACCACCAAGGTGTCCCATAAGAATTTTTTATATAGTAATAAGAGCAGTGGGGAGCCATCAAAATGTTTTAAGGAGGAAAGTGACAAGATACGATCCATGTCTGAAAAGGTCATTTTGGCTGCTGAATGGGGAAGGTACTTGAAGAGGGAGAGAGAAGTGCGGAGGCCTGTGAGGAAGCCACACACATATCCACATGAGAGGAAGAAAGTGATGTGGTCACATGATGGTGGCAGAGGCAGAGAAGTGAAAGGATCTGGAGATGGAGTGACTTAAATCGCTGAAAGATTCATACTGGGGAGATGAAGAGGTGCCAACAAGAGCTGCTTTGGTTCAGGTTTAGCAACTGAATAGATGCAGGTGCTGCTTAATGAGATAGGAAGGACAGAGGAGTAACTGCGAGGCCAGTGAGATGAAGCTGTTACTTCTACATGGAGAGGTCAATTAGGCATCTGGGATGCAGGTCACCCTCAGAAGAAAGGCTTGGGGTAGCCTAGATGTAAATTGGATTTTCTGCCTTCCCGGAGAATGTTTTCTGAGCTCTCATATCTCAAAGCTCGAAGCTTCGTGCCCCAGGTGGTGACCAGTCAGCACAGCATTCCTCCCACAGACAGGCTGCCTCACAGGGCAGGTGAGGGGTACATTGAGTCAGGAGAGTGAAGTCAGCAATGTTATATTGTAAACCCTTACTGGATAACTACTATGTGCTGGTTCGCACTAAGGTTGGAACAGACACAAAGAACAAAAAAGGCCCTGTCCTTGAGGGGTGAATATTAGGCAGAAGAATAACAGAAATCTCAGGATAGAGCGAAAAGCAGAGCACTAAAGTGGAAATGGACTTGGTATCACTGACTGGCTTTGAATTTGAGTTCTGTTACACACTGGGCAAGTTATTCATCTTTCTTTCATTCACAGATACACATTCCCCCTCTTCCTGGTTGGCTTCTTCTCAACCTTTTAAGTTTTAGCTTACCTGTTACCACCTCAAAGAGGCCTTCCCTAATTTGGTCTAAAGCAGAATAGAAGCTCTTATTCAACAGGACTTGGTGTGGATCAGGTTTCCAGTATTGTTTGCTGCATGGCTGCATTAGTTTTTACCACAGATCCTGTTCATCGCCCTCAGCATTTCTTCAACTTGTATGTGTATGTTGTGTATGACCTTTTTTCCCAGAAGAGATAGGCAGTTCCATGAAGACAGAAAGCACGTCTGCTTCATCTCCTGCCTGACCTGTAGCAGCTCAGTGACCACTAGCAAATGAATGATTGTAAATGCCCACTTGATGCTACTTGTTTCATATTTATAATCCACAACTCAATGAAGTAGAAGCTGAGGCTCAAAAGGTGAATTAACTTACTCAAGGTCACAAGGTTAATAAGGGGCAGAGCCAGGATTTGAACATGGGTGCGTAGGTCTGATTCCAAGGTTGAGGCGCTTACCTAGTACAGTGTGTAGCTGCTACAAAGCCTCCATACAAGGGGAGACTGCTAATATGGCAACCAGATACCTACTATGAAGTCCTGCATGTAGCAGACACTTGACAAGTGCCTTCTGAATAGCACAGATGAGTATTAAGAAGTGTCTCTGGGAAGACTAATCAAATTTCACAAAACACTGAACCTAAGACTTGAGATAATCTGTGGATCAGGGTTTCCTAGTGCACCACCCTGAGCAGGGCCATGTGCTTTCAGCATTGACAGTAATTCACCCAGGCAGCTGTTTCTCCTATAGGGTGGTGGGGAGAGCCGGCTAGTACATGTTGCTTCCTTTTGGGTATAAGATCTTCCCCCAGGTGATACTGAAGCCCCGCTCCCATTCCCACACCACCTCACGGTCCTGTTATTGGAGTCACTACCATTTAGCTTAAGTCTTTGCTGATGGGGATGCTGCTTGGGAACCTGCCAGCCAACAAAGATGGAAGATTAGGAAAAGTGTTGATATTTTTCCTAGGATGAAAATGGGGACAGAAACAGAGATAAGGGCTAGCATTAGACTTGGAAGAATGACCACTTCAAAGTATTAAAACCTGCATCCTGTATTAAGTCAGCTTAGAAAATGATACCCTTTCCCAAGCCTATGGCTTTCTTTTCCTTGGAGAGTCAGTGAATCTCCAAAACTTTGTGGTTTTTAATCCCACAAAGGAAACTCAGCTCCCTTTTGGCATGTGAGCTGATACAGAGAGATGTACACCATCATCCCACAGACAGATTCCTCTTGAAGCTCTCTCTTGGCCACCACACATGGCTCAGGAGATAACGGCAGCGACTTGCCCATGCATGTTGTCACTTGCCAACCAGACCAAACCTTAGTCCTGTTGTTGTGTGAATGCAAGGAAAAGGCTGCAAACTGACCTTTAAGCGGATTTTCAGATTTTTATCTGACAACAAGTGGATGCAGCGCTCCATCACGTCCGTGGCGATCTGGATTTGCACTGGCAGTGGTGGCTCCACGTTGGGACCGCTGTCGTCCTCGTCTACTTTGGGAGGGGCTGACTGCTCCTCTGGAAAAAGAGCATAGCTGGGGATGTTGCTTTCTGAGAGAGGCCCCACTCCAACTTGATCCCCCAACCTCAGATTCAGGAGGACTCACAGAGGAAATGTCTAAGAACTGGTCTTAAGGTTAAGTTATGAGTCAAATTAATTATAACAGCTAAAAACTGGGAGGAAACCCTGTGTCACTCAAGGAGGAATGGTTATATATGCCAATGGTATAGCTGTACAATGGCATGTTAACGTAAGAAGGGTATTCGTAAGGTTTTTTTTTTTTTTTTAAGATTTATTTATTTATTTATACAAGCACAGGGTACAGTCAGAAGCGCGGGAGGTGAGAGAATTCACTAGAGCCAGAGCGGGGCGCAAAACAGGCAGAAGGACCGAAGTACACTGCTGAGGGGAGCAGTGGGTGGCAGGAGAGGTCTGTGCGCCATGTGGGACCCTCGCCTGGCGGCCGGGATTGAACTGGCACTGCAGAGGCTGCGGGCAGCTTCGCAACCCAGTGCTCAACCGTTGCGCCACCAGGGGAGGCCCCTTCGTAAGCTTTTAATGACGAGGAAAAATGCTTATGGAATTACATAGTATTAAAAAAGCAGGCTACATTATTGCAGGCATGAGTACTCTTAAATAAATTTTTGCATGGGAACAAGTACACCAAAATGTTGCAATGGGGTCATGAGACAATAGATGATTTTCATTTTTTCCTGTACCTCTGGTCTTTTAAAATTTCCATTATTAAAAATTTTAAATAAAATTGTAAGAGGGTAAAGTTGCAATTTGGAACCCTGAGGCAGTACCTTCCCTGGTGGGCTTTTGCTCTGCCCTTCACTCTCTTTCATTTCCTCTTTGGTTCACCCATGGACTAAAGGGGGCACCTGTCTGTGTTCTCCACCAGCCTGTAAAATCTTTGGATGGTCAAGATCAAGCCTCACTCTGTATGAGAGACAGTACAAGGGCAGCTTGGTGCAATACACAGGGATGGGGTTTCGTCAGAGGAGGCCTTGTCTCCACAACCCATTAGCAACTCCTCTCTTCCTATATTACCTCATCTGAAAAAAGGGAACACAGCTTGTATACCTCATATGCTTGTTGAGGGAGTTCAGTGAGAGGAACACCACCAGCTATTATCATTCTTTCACTGCCTAGAGTAGTGTGTTGCATGAGACAAGCATAAATTTGTAAATTAAAACAACAATAAAAAGACTTGAGAGTTGAAAATCAGGCTAAATTCCTATCCTGAAAAAATGTCCTCTATCTAATTATAGCTCCCAGCTCCCCACACCCCCATTATGGGTTGTGTTCATTTCCATTGAGCTGAACATTGCTCCCTTAACTTTTTCCCATTTCAATTTCCTCTGTTGGAAAAGCAGAATCTTATAGTAGCGACCACACCTGTCTCTAACAGATGCTGAAAAGATAAATGAAAATGCATTTGTAGAATGTTTGGATTTCTTGGAGAAAGGGACCTCCATATACAAGGTGCTTTTATTGCGCTTAAAACAAAAAACGCATGTCAAACCAACTCTAACCTGAATGTTCTTTATAATGCCAAGTGTGGGTATGTGCTTGATGAATGATAATTATAAGAATGATAAGGCTCTGTCTTTCTTCCCAGAAGAGGATCTGTTGTCACCATTGCAGAATGTTATTTGAAGGATGAGGATTTTCTGTTTTTGGAAGAAAGGTTTGATTCATTCAGTCTGTTGCTAGCAGACATCAACTAGAACCAGAAGATCCTAATCATGAAAGAATGGATTCCCTGACAATACTAGAATTCAAACAAGAAGGGTAAATCCGGATTATGCCCCCCTTCTTCAGGGCTTCCAGGTTTGAGTGAGGGGAGCAGTTCACAAAAAGAACTGGGTTGGCTTAAGAAACAAAACTGAAAAGAAAAAGCCTGATAGAGTTCTGATCAGAAAACTGTCTCTGGGAAGAGCAATGACACGACTCCACAAAAATCATTATTTGGACCCTGTGCTGCTTCCCTGCTATTTAGAAAGAATTTGTTGAGGTTAGCTGCAATGAGCTACCATTTCCTGTTATCCTGGAAGTATTGGCTTCAGTTCACCAGAGTCTCAGAGCAGAGATTGCCAGAAAAAAAAAAAAAAAGGAAAAATGAAAAAAGAAATCTGCTTGATTCCAACCTAACAAACTAATTTGGGACTCAGTTCGATTTAGGATAGTTCTGAGACCACCAAGCTCATTATGACTTGGCATTTTATATTTGCAGAGGAGGTTCTAATAATTTATTAATCCTTCCGTGACCTGAAGCTCCAGATTGAGCTTGTGAATAAAACAACAGGCCAGAGCTTCAACTGGACTGAACTCCCTTCTCCTTTATCATATAAATTGGTAAGAAAAACACTGAAATCTCCTACCAATAAATAAATGGACAAAGCATCTTAAGAGACAAAGGGCATACGCTTATTATGAAAGCCTACAGAAAAATGTTCAATCTAGCCTGTAATCAAAGAAATGCAAAGTAAAATAACAAGAACCATTTTTACTCATTAAAATTAAGCTAGAAGACTGGTAATAGGCATTGTTGGCAAGTATGGTAAAACCAGTATTAACTACACTGCTAAAAGAAGGTGTAAATTGATACAACCTTTCTGGAAGGCAATTTGGCAAGTATAAAATAATGTTCATATCTTTGGCCCAGAAAGCTCGCTTATGGGATTTATTAAGAAATATGCAAACAGGAGGAAAAGGTCACGTGGACAGAATCATCCACTGTAGCACTGTTTTTATGTGAAAAGCTAGAAGCAACCAAAATTTCCCACAGGGGAATGGATACTTAGTAGCAGCTATTAAAACATTAATTGTGAAAACGCTATAGCAACATAGAGAGTTATTATATAGCTAAGTGCAAAAAGGGTATAATGCATTAAAACCATGGGCACAACCACATAAAAAGATGCAACAAAACAGAGAGGCAAAAGATTACATGCAAAGTGAGAATGTCCTTGGTGGGGTGATGAGGGACTCATTTCCAAACTCTTTGTAATGATATTTCTTTTTTACAATTATCTGCTTCAAAAAGAAGAAAACAGTTAAGTCATAATAAATACTAGTTACCTTCTTCATTATCAGAATCGGAGACATTTCCATCTGCCACATCCTTTTCCTTGAGGTAGTTCAGCAAAAACTGTTCAATGTCGTCAGCAGTGGTGGTATTATTCTCAAGTCCTTTCTCAAGAGTTGCTGATCCTTGGCTCAAATGGCTTCCCTCATCCCATACTCTTCGCTCTTGGAGTTGCCCAAGACTGTCTGATTTTGGGAACCACTGGGCTGTAAATAAAGCATTATATTTTTTTGTCTTGCATTGTCACTTATCTTTGTACAACAGTTGTTCTTGCCCCTCAGGTGCAGAAAATAAGTTATAATGACCACCTTGGTCACTGACAACAGGCATTAATGCCTTATCAGAGTAAGTTCTTTGCCACCATCTACAAGGCCTCTGCGTCATCCAGTCCCTATTGGCTTCTCCAGCCTCATCACGCACTGCTCCTGGTTGCCCTTTACTTGACCATCTTCTAGTTCCTCTGATGCACCAGGGACTTTCTGGTCCCAGGACATTTGCATTTGCAATGTCAGGAACACTCTCCCCCCTTATCACATCTGGTTAACTCCAACTTACTTTTCATGTCTCAATACAAATATAACTTGCCAGTAAAGCTATCCCTTGACTCCCTAATCTAATTTAGGTCCCTTATATGTTGTCTTATATACAGCACCATGTTCTTTCCTTCAGATCAACTCACCATGGTTTGTTATTCTATTTATTTTGTGTACTGTTTAGTGTCTGAATCTCCCCTTAGACTCTATGACCTACCAATCACCACTGGAAATTCAAAATGCCCTGCATGAAGTGGGTGCTCAAAATATATTCTGAATGAATACAAATGTTCACGTGACAAGATTCTGAGGATAGGCTACACTACTCATTTGCAGAAGACAGATTATAGTCTTGAGAATGGACACAGTTTCACATATTTTTGACACAAAATGCTTAAGATGGCATTTTATTGCCAAAGCTTTTCCTTCTTTGGTGATATACCAATACTTCTGATATTCACCACAAAAATAAATCTTAAATATCATGTTCGGACCAGGATTTTCAAACTGTGCACTGAAGATCACTGGTGGGTTCTGCAGAAATGTCTCAGGCTCACAATAGTGAAGGCACCAAGAGATAGCAGGCTAACAAGGTGGTAGGTTCTGGATATCTAGCCCTTCTTTAACTAGAACAATTCTAATTTCAACTATTTTTGTATATTGGGGTTCCTCTGGGGTTATTCATTTGAATAGAGGATCTTAATTCCTAAAGAATGGGACAATCAAAAACCCCACAGCCTGAATATTTTCCCTCCTTTTGAGATAGTAGGATGGGGGAGTACAGAAGGCAAAGCAGTGGGGTTAGGGTGAGAAGGGGAAAAAAAAATCTGATAACCTTGAGCACTCACATAGCTCCTTTTTATCAAGGAACAAGGACTACCTACACAGAGTGAGAGCAACAGCAGATGGGAGATGCCAAGCACAGGCAACTGAGAGCAGCAGAGAGCAAATGCTAGAGACAAGTCTTTAGCTGTGTCTGCAGGTTCCATATGTAGGGTCACTGTGCCCTTTCTTCAATGCTCCATCCCCAGGTCCACAGTGAACTCTAAGGGATGGCGTTTCCAACTGGTTGAAGTCAGGATCCAGCATTTACACTTCTTAGAGTAGAAACATCACGAAGATTATTTCTAGATTTAAGGCTAGTGCTAAACATTAAAATACTTGCTCACAAATAGCTTTTCAACATATGAAAAGAAGCTTAACCTCACTTTTAATGCAAATTAAATTACAATAAGGTGCTATTTTTCTCCTTTTGGATTAGCAAAGATTAAAAAGCTGGGTAAAACAGTGTGGGTGAGAGCATGGCAAAATTGGCACTTTGCTATATTGCCAATGGGAGTCAAATTGGTACAACCTCTTTGGAGAGCAATTTGATACTGTCTATCAGAAAATTTAAATGTACTACTCTCTAAGCCAATATTTCTCTTAGGAATTTGCCCTATTGAGATTGTTAGACATGCTCAAAATGACCTACAAAGATACTCTTTTTTTTTTTTTTTTGTGGGGGCCAAAGTGCCTGCTGAGAAAGGACTGCCTAAACATGTTGGCGCAGCTCCTCAGGCCACCAAGTAGCCTGGCACGTACAGAGCCTGCAGGTGAGGAGGTGGCACCACCTCCCCCTGCCGAGTATGCGGCGCAGTCATGTTCTAATTTTCAAAGTTGTCCTATTTTTTTCGTGTTTAATCAGCCTGCCAGCAGTTGATGCTAAGCAGTAATTTATCTGATGGCTCTTGTCCTCACTGTGCTACCTAATGCTTTTCAATCAATGTATGTGAAACACTGTCCTTAAGGTAACTCAATTTCCTTAAACATGTTCTGGTTCTTTCAAGACTTTTGGGAAGTTTTCTGAGAACACACTTCCACTCTCATCTTAGAGTGGCCCTCAGTTCAATGGGGAAAGCTATCCCCAATTTTGCCTGTTTTCCTCTAAGGCTCTCAGGTCAACCGGAACCATCCTCATTTTCCTCTTTGCAAAGGAGACCCCTCCTCCTCCACCTCCCCCTCTATTAAAGAAAAAGTGCTACACAGGATTTCTCCTTGAGAGATTACCAAAGACATCAGCAGTTCAAAGCAACTCAATTTTTTAGGCCCAAACTGACATATCTCCTGAGAGGATATATGTAATAGGCCTTTTCTTAATATATTTCTTCAATCTCAAACTGAAATGTGGTATAGTTTCCTAAAGCACTAGAAGTAGAAGTCGGGGCTATATTTGGACTATGGAAGCCAGTGTGAGTCTAAAATGTCTAAGTAGGCCTTTCACAACCAGGTTTCTCTTGGTCAGTGCTGACGTCCCACTGACTAGCCCAGGATACAGGTGTCTGAGTGGTTGCAAAGTAAAATCCAAACTCTTTCCCTTAGCCTATAAGGTGCTGGAGAATTGATCCTTACCCACCTTTCTAATTTAACCTTGCACCACTCTCTCCACAATGACCTTTCTTCCATTCTCCAAAGATCATTTTTTTCCCTCTAGTTCTTTGTACCTGCCATCCTCTTGCTCAAATGTTCTTGGAAACCACAAAAAGAATGTGACAGCCCCATGCATACTGATGAGGCCTTCTGAGCCTCAGGTCTCAGCTTTAGCATTGCTTCTTCAGAGAGGCCCTCTCTGACCACTCTTCGTCAAGTAGCCTGTCCCTGTTACTCCCTTGCATTGAGTTGCCTATTTTCTTCACAGTGCTTATTATTGATTTGTTTACCTGTTTCTCCTTGCAGAAGCAAGAATGTTCCATAAGATTATACACTATGTTCACTATGTATTCATTACTTAGCACAGTGTCTGACATATGGCGGGTACTCTTAATTGAATGGAGAACAGTTGCATTAGACTAACTGTCTAAACCTTTACCATTTTAATGGCGGCTAACACCTCCAACAGATACCCAAAAGGGTCAAAGAGAAGAGAAGAAACTCAAACCAATTCACAAAATTAAAGGGTTAAAAGAAGTTTCTAGACCTGCTTTGTCTAATATGACAGTCACTAACTATCTGGGATTATTAAAATTAAAGTTTCAGTTCCTCAGCTGCATTAAACAAAGTGGTTAGTGGCTGTTGTATTGGACAGAACAGATACAGAATATTTCCATCATCACAGAATGTTCTGTTGGACAGCAGAATTCTAGATTTTCTGTGGACTAAATAATACATGTCATTTCTGTTTTCCAGCAGCACAGAAACTGCCATCTCTAACACAAAACAGCAATGGAACCCTACTATATCATGTGGGACTGGACAACTATCCAAATAACATCCTGCATAATACAACCACAAATAATAGGGGAAAAGATCAGACAAACTAGGATATAGTCATCCCCCAAATTAGCATTAAAAAGGGCTCTCCATGTACCTAATGCTGCCAGCAGAGCATGCAGCACACTCACAAAGGAAGAAGCTCTCTGATCATAAAATTGGTCCAGGGTGACCAAGATATCCTGAACCACATCTGCAACCAAAGGCAGCAGACTAGCATCTGAGTTCCGCAGCATGACTTCTAAGACCTTTGGGGTATGAGGGTGCAGAGACAGATGACGCAGATTTAAAGCGATCCCATTCACCAAGTAGTCTGAATTTTGATTGATCAGGTCTTGCAGGGAGTCATAGCTACAAGCATGGCAAATGTCCATCATGGAACTGGTAGCTGCCTGACTGATGAGCAGTGTTTGGTCTCCAGCCTTCTCCAGTACTGGATAAAGGGCTGACATCAAGAGCAAACGAAAATCTTCTCCTAGTGCATATGCAAAATGGCCAATCCCTTCCAACTGGATGCATATTTGCCAGATGTTGCTGTTCATGGAACAAACAGTGGGACTTGGCTTTGAAAAAGAAGGGAAAGCTGTAACTTGGCAGGTCTGGGTACTAGATGTGATGGCCTGGAGGCCAGACTGCTTCGTCAGTAGGTCCTCTCCCATTTCTTCAGCTTCAATACAGGTAACCAAATACCAGTTTTCTTGGCTTGTGTATTCTTCAAATATAGATGTCACGATCTCTCTCAGTTCCTCTGGGTTTGTTCTAGTATGTTTTTCATGAAGATGCTCCACTTCCAGCCCAGCAGCCCCTACAACCAGTTCATTAAGAATCATGGCAGCTTGCTTCCGGTAAACCACAGACTCACGGTACAGTTCCATAAAGTGATCCACAAGCAAATAGAGGTTCCCATAAAAACCAAGAAGCTGACAAATCTGCCTCAAGAGCAGGAAAACTCTCTCATCGGAGAAGAAGCGGAAATATCTCCTTTGCATTTGGCTCCATGGCCGCAAGGCTGACATTTTTGGAGAAGCACTCAGATAGTCAGAGTTCCAACGCCGCTCTTCAACGATTTTGATGTCAGCCACGTCTAGTTCTAGAACTTGGATAAGTGCTCTGGAAAGCCGCTGCAGATGGGCCACAGAGTTGAGGACAAAGTTCACTTTTGGGCCCAAGAGTTTCAGATATCCAAGTAACAAGGAGAGTGTGGAGAATTTGCCCTGGTCATCTTGAGAGTCCATCAGGCGGGGAAGAGATGTGGCAAGAGAGTGGAGGTTTTCTGATAAGATGTCAGCAAGGGCTCTGTTGCCTACCACCACTTTCTGATCTGCAAAATGTTTCAAGACTTTATTGCACTGAGCTTGGACTTCAGGACGCTCATCATTTAGTAGGCCCACCAAAGCTTTCAGAAGGGCACCGGCAGATTCAACAAGTGACTGACTGCATTTCAAAAGAAGGGTCTCAACAAGTTCTATCAGCTCCAGCCTCACCCTCCAATGTGGGTGAACTGAAACACACTCAATAATCTTTTTAATCAGGATAGTCAACTTGTCTCCAGTACTTTTTACCCAGTCGGCTTCCCTGTGAACCATCAGCTCTGCTACTCTCTGCTCCACTGCAGGTTTTGCCTGGACCTTTGAGATTTCTCTGAGTTGTTCATCAGCCATAATGAAGCTCACGGTCTTGTAAAAGATGTTTAGGGAAGATACAACGATGCTGTGCCCTTGTTTAAAGTCTCCTGTGATAACCCTGGTCAGTGCAGTCGAGATTCCAGGTAAAAAACAAGCAAACAAATCCCCCAGCTGCTTTTGCTCAAGTTCATCCAAAGACCTAGGATGGTCTTCACAGTCACACTGAAAGAGGAGAACCTGTAAACACTTTAAGGCAGCAATTTTAATTTGCTTTGATTTCTCCTGTTCTGCTAGGCCTAACAGTAGAGATACAGCAAATCCTAAACGAGGCAGAATGGAGGGTTCATAAAAAGTCAGAATGATGTCCCCATAAGTGGAGTGCATTAATGTGCTGAGGCCCTGAATGACAGCCAGTTTCAACTCCTCTGACACGGCTGCAAGTTTTTGGGAGTTAGGTGAATACAGACAAGCAGAGAGTTCGGAAAAGAGTTCCTGGAGAAGTTCTTGTTCCTTCACACATGTTGAGGAGAGGACAAATGTGAGGCATTCCACCACGCTCTGGATCAAGCGCTCTCTTTTGGGACCTGGGGTCTTCAGGACAAACCGCAAGGGGAAGAGGATGTACTGCTGAAGCTCCTGGAGTGCGGAGTCACTCACGGTTTGTAACTGTGCCTGCAGAAGTTCCACGTTCTCTACCGTCTGGGTCTTCGTGAGCTGAACACAGACTGGACGTAAGACGCCAAAGGCCTCCTCAGGAGTATCAAAAACTGCCATGGTGCAACAGCCTTCCTCTCACCGAGGAAACATCCTGCAGGTCAGAGGAAGGAAGGAAACTTTTCAGTGAAGAGGGTCAAGCTCAAAGTATATTCACAGCGGATTTGCTTCATTCATTCAACACTCACTGGGGACCTATGTGCCAGTCACCGCAGAAAGCACTGGGGGAGTAATGAGATGGGAAAGAGGTGGTGAGGGAAGCAGACGCACAGCGAAAACACGGCCTGTTAAGAAATAGGATAGGAAGAAAAGAGAAAAAGAATTAGGATAGGCCTATACCTCCATTCCTGGGTATGGAAGTTCTATGTGTCATAAACCAGGGAAAGCCAGGACAGGCTTCACAGGAAAAAGATGCTTGAGCTAAGAGTTGGGGGAGGAATAAATAGGAGTCTGTGGGCAGTTCAAAAGAGTTTGGATTTTAACCTGTGGTAGTGATGGAAAGCCACTGAAGGTTTTAGCTTTTTTAATGAAAATATAACAATCATAGAGTAAAATGCACTAGTCTTTACAGAGTAGTGGATTTGTATATTTGTAGAGACCCAACTAACCACTATCCAAAACAAGATATAGAATTAAATAGCCCCCTCAGAAGGCTCCCTCATGCCCCTCTGCAATCAATTTCTATTTCCCCTGTCTAGAGGTAGCCACTATTCTGTCTTCTATCACTATAGATTAGCTTTGCCTATTCTTGCCATGCAGATGTTTTAAGCATGGGTGATATGTTCAACTTTATGCACCAAAAGGAGCCCCTGACACTCAGTAATATGGAAGAAAGATTGTAGCAAAACAAAATAAAAGGAAGTAACCAGAGGGATGGGAAAATTAGGAGTGTAAACTCAAAAACCCTGGGAAAAGAGATTCAAGCAGGATGGAGATGGGCAGCAGGTAGTTCACAGGCAAGCAAAGAAGCTGAGCATCTTAATACTAGTTAGTGTCTGTTTTCTCTGTCAGGAGAAATTCAAAGTCATGGGCTGACAGTAGACAAGAAGGGGGTTAAAGAGAGAACTTGAGGAGAGAAATAAAAGTCTCAAATATTCCCTTTGGGAAGGGAGAGCGTGCTGGGAAGACAACAAAGTGTGGGCCAAGGATACTGGGAAATGGACTGAAGCAGGAGACCATAATGTGCACAACTATAAAACGTTGGCTTTGGATGGAGGCTTAGAGATCATCTAGTTTTGTTCTTGTGTCCCTCCCTCCCTTCATCCCTCCTTCATTATCTCCCTCCCCCAACCTCTCCCTCTTTTTCTGGCTCTACTTGCTGGGGGATTCCGATTAGATGATCATAAGAAAACATCTCTGTTGTCTCTCCCTGTCCCTAATCCAATGAACCCTCCTACAGTTCAGTACAGGGTTGGTAGGTGAAGTGGTGCCAGATCAGTGCAGAGAGAGCTAATGATGGGATTTCCCTTTGGGTCAGGAGAAGGTTCAGCAGGCAACAATCAGACTTAATACTTTGGAGAGAGTCTAGTCCACAAAGCTCCACTGACCCCCATGAGGAAGGGTAGAGCTGACCTTTGTGAGGTTTCTGGACGGGGATATCTTTATGTACCAAAAGAGGCACCAAAGGGGAAGAAGCTCAACTCTTCCCTCTCTCAGGCTAGGAGAGTGTAGGTATGGATGCCAGAAAGCTTGGCTGGGGACTATTGACATCCCATCTGCACACTGGCTCATACACTAATGTCCCCTAGAAGCTGCTGTGCCACCCCGAGTCTGAGGTACAGAAGGAAAGGAAGATAACCAGTAAATGGGGCTTAGCAGTCCTAGAAGTAGGAAAAGCCAACAGAGCCCCCTTTGAGGTGGTGAATCTTAAATCAACAGACCCACTGAAGGACACAGTCAAGAATTCGAAAAACAGTAAGACCAATAACAAAGTTCAATTACAAAACAAAAGATATTTCTAAGAATTAAAAAGAATGATTTTCCACACCCAGAAAGCTGGGATGGGGGAAAAAGGATTGTTAATTACTGAGACCCAGTACCAGGCTTGGAAGATCTAGTAGAGCTTTTTCAACACACTAAGCAGGAATACAAAGAAATGGAAATTGTGAGACTTGGAAGGTAGATTGGGGAGAACTAACATGTAAATTGCTGGGAATTCTGGAATGTGAAAAGCAACAGATGGAAGGGCTAAACAAATAAGTACCTGACACATTTCCTTAAGCTTCAAAATGACTTATCTGGATATTGAAGAGACTTATGCCTAGTCATATTTTGGAAAAATTTCTAAAGACTGATTCCTTGTGCTTTCAAGGAAGAAACAACAAATAACTTATAAAATAAAAAGAGACTGGCTTTGGACTTCTCGTTTGTAACAATGGATAATAGAAGACACTGTATTCCAGCATGTGCTGACTGCAAATAAAGGACTATGGCTCCCAAGCCCTATACACAGCCAACATACTCACAAATAATACATACACAAATACTACGGCATGCTAAATACTTTCATAGTGGTATATATGTTGGTAGGACAGAGAGAGCAAATTGCAATGGCTGTTTAGGAAATTTTATAATCCTGTCAGGATAGGAGATTCAGAGATATTATCACCATATGCCCTATAGAGGAAATACTTAAGAAGGGACTCTGTTCAAAGGGAGGCCAAAACAAACACTCCAAATAGAGGCCTATAACTAATGATGATGGAAACTTTCTTTATAGATGTCTAAGGGGAAGCCCACTATAAAAAAAAAAAAAACATGTAAAGTCAGAGAGTCTGGTTAAAGGAGGTGAGGTCAATGGCCTGGTGTCTGAATCTCTCATTTCAGGACTTTTTTTTTTTTAAAGTAATTTTTTTTTTATAAAAAGATTTATTTATTTATTTATACAAGCACTGGGTACAGTCAGAAGTGCGGGAGGGTAAGAGAATTCACCAGAGCCAGAGCGGGGAACAGAACAGGCAGACTGATGAAATATACTGCTGAGGGGAGCAGCAGGCACAGCAGGACAGGTCTGTCGTGCCATGTGGGACCCTCGCCAGCCGCCGGGGATCAAACTGGCACTGCAGAGGCTGCGGGCAGCTTCGTAGCCCAGCACTCAACTGCTGCGCCACCAGGGGAGGCCCAGGACTTCTTTTTAAAAAAAGATTTATTTATTTATGCATACAAGAGCTAGGGGACAGGCCAGAGGGTGTGTGTGTTGGGTGGGGGGAGGTGGTGGTGGTGAGAGAATTCACCAGAGACAGAGTGGGGAGCAGAACAGGCAGATTGACTGAAGTACACTGCTGAGGGCAGCAGCAGGCAAGTCAGGAGAGGTCTGCTGCGCCATATGGGTTGCTTTCTGGCTGGCTGGGGATCAAACTCGTGTTGCAGGGCCTGCGGACAGCCCCATAGGTTGCGTCTTAACTCTTGCACCACCAGGGAGGCCCTCATTTCAGGACTTTCAAGATGGTTACATGGGGTACCTTCAACTATGTTCTCAAATTTTGACAAAAACTTTAATAGAGCTAATGAAATGGGGACAAGAAATATATCCCAAACTGAAATCTTTCTTTCTTGCTTTTACTTCTGTATTCCTTTTGATTGATAGTCTTGACCTGTACTAGAAATCAAAGAAATCTCTACTTTCTTTCACCTTCATCTTAATTCTACCATTCCTCTTACTTTTGTCAGTTCTGCTCCTTCCCTATCTTTAAAATCTACTGATGATGACAAGTTATTTGACCTTGGGCCGGCTGTAATAGTTTGCTCTCTGGTCCCTTGCCTTGTGTGCTTGCTCTTCTTGAAGCCACTTTTCACGCTGGCATATAAGTAATCTTTCTAAAACAAAAATCTAATCATTCTTCTCCACACTAAAAATTCTCCATAGCCTGCATAAAGTGCAAACACCATTTTACCATGGCCTACGGTGTCCTTCACCATCAGGCCCCTGTCTATGTCACCAACCTCACTCCTTGCTGCTTGGCCCCTTCAACACTAACCTAACCATGTAAAAGTATAAAACTTCCTAAGCAGCTATTTCAATTTGCCCTCTCTGTCCTACCAACATGTATACCACTGTTACAGTATTTAGCATGCTGTAGTATTTGTGTATGCCTGTCTTACCTATTTTGTTTTTATTATTTTTTTTAAGATTTATTTGTTTATTTATACAAGATCCAGGGTACAGACCAGATGCACGGGAGGGTGAGGATTCACCAGAGACAGAGCGAGGAACAGAACAGGCAGACTGACGAAATACACTGCTGAGGAGAGCAGTGGGCAAGACAGGAGAGGTCTGCTGCGCCATGTGGGACCCTCGCCGGCTGGCTGGGATTGAACCCGCACTCAGAGGCTGCGAACAGCTTCACAGCGCTGCGCTCAATTGCCTGCGCCACCAGGGGAGGCCCTGTCTTACCTACTTTAGACTCAGCAATCCCATATTTAGAACCAAGAAGGGCATCTGACACATGATAAGCCCTCAAAAAACACCTGCATCGATTTTGCTTTCAAGTAGGATACAGCAGGGTATAGCAGTCTAACACTCATGCTAATTAGAAAATCAGAAAAATTATAAAAATCATTTCTTAAAGCAACAAATAGTTGTATACTATTAGACTAAGGGTTAGATGGATTAATATTCTAGTAAGCAATATGTTGCTCCTCATACTGTTCAGAGAGTCAATTATCAATAGCTATTTGCTGTTGTTAATGTTGTTTGCGGATCCTGGACATGAGCTCAGGCTCAAGGTGTCAGGTGTCATGAGAGTAGGCTGAGGGCTGTCACCAAGGAAGGAGAAATGACAATGCTTTTTAATGTTGTCATGTGGAACTGGAGGGACAAAACTCGTCTTCGGGGATCTCTAAATACATGACTTCTGGAAGAAAGGGCTACGCAGAGATAAAGAAACCAGTAGAAATTCTGGCATTCTTTAAAGCCAAAAAGGTTTGAGGGATCTTAAATACTTGACTGGTTTTTCTCTGAGACATTTGCCAAATTTTGAAGCTATGTGAAGTGGTAAGCACAAGACAAAGCTGAACCCCTCCAAAGGATTTTATAGGCTTTTCAAGGTCACAGTCTTTCAAGGGCAAGGAGACAAATGGCCTGATAAGCTCTCA